TTCACAGACAAAGATGTGAGTTGTTTGGGAGGGTCAGTAACACTTTGGTGGAAAATGACGGAGCCTTTTTACGTGCCCAAGGGTTCCCCGGTGATGCTATTTCATTAATGGAAGAGCAGAAGGGGATTAAAAAAAGAGAGAAATGGCTATGGCTTGATGCTAACATGTTTTTTAGCTGTCAGAATTCAGTCAGAATTCTGAGAAAAAAAGTCAGAATTCTGACTTTCTTCCCAGATTAAACTGAAATAAAATTTAAAAATCAGTTAACTTTTAATAAATTTTTCAGTGTCCCTAATCTTCACTACATTTTAACTCACTTGTTTCTTCATTAATAAAATTCATTATAAAATATACTGAATATGAATAGATTTAAATAATTCTGCAGACAGTCTTGGTGTTATTACTAAGAAGCTTTTTTATTATTATTATTATTATGGGCAGACTAGTGAACTTAGCCAAAGGAGGTCAATATTGAACCTATTTATATATTTTCTTATTTTAACATGCTACTCAAGTTTCTTCAAAGATGGGTTTGTGAAAAACATAGAAACACCTTTTCCACTATCTGTCCTATTGCTTCAATAGTTACAATGATTTCAACTGTCTAAATATGTTTTACACAAAGCTATCAGATCGTTATCAATTAATAATCTCACACTGATAAGTATCAAGTAATTATTTATATAATTATTTGTATCATTTTATTTCACTATTAAACACGTATTTTCCTAAAATGTAACATGGTAAATAGAGATGATGTAAGAAGACATTAGCTAAACAGATATATTGGGCTTAAAGGACACTTATCAGGAAATCTAAACAGTTCTCTTTAGTTTGGCTGAATTCTACAGTTTAATTTCCTGTTGTTGTAATCTAATTATAATCTGTAGTTTACTAATAAACAGGAATGCAGGAACATTGCACTTTCAGTCATTGTGTTATATCCCGTAATTATCAATTTATTTACAAGTCAGATATTATTACCATTATTATAATTTTTATTTGAAATGAAATTATTGTTTGTTGGGAAATGTGTGAGTTGAAAATCCAGGCAATGAAGGTCCAGTGAATCAGTTCCGGATCTGGCCAAAGGGAAAGTTAGTGAAAAGAAGAGTTGAAAACAAAATGAAGACATCTCACTCTGATTATTTTTTATTATTTTATTTTATTTTTAATTCTTTTACATTACATATATTGGTCTATAGAAAATGTAACTTTAAAGCGTCACATTTCAGCTGGGAGCTGATGCTTAGTTGGCATCTTTGACATTTTTCGCAGAAATTTGTGGGAAGTTGATCCCCAAAAAGCACAGATAGATTTCATGATCCCTGCAGTACCTCCGTGACCCACTAGGGGACCACGATCCCCATGTAGAAGACCTTTTCTATGGGCCTATAGTGAGAAAATAATGTTGAATTGGAAAAGGTTTGTGCTTTATTTATTTATTTTTGTGTGTTTGATGTTAAACAAAAACAATGATCCCAAATGGCTAAACAAAATGGTATAAGTATACACAGTAAAATATTTATTTCAACCATTTAATTAATTTGATAAAATCAGTTGATTATTTCTCTCTTAGCTGCACATTAAAAAAAAAAGAAAAAAAAAAAGGCTGAATTACTCTTCCTTCATTGTAACAGATTTGATAGTGTTATCAGACTTGCAAGCTCTGTCCTTTTTTACCCTGAATGTAGCAATAGTTAATGAGGGCCTAAAAATATATGTGTTTTTATTTCAGCAGACAACAGGAAACTTCTTTGGATTTTTTTTTTTTTTTTTGTCCCAGAGTGCATTAATATTCAGGTCTTTATTTCTTTCCTTTATTTCTTTAATTTTTTCAGTACTTGAGTAGCTTTTTTACCAAATCATTTTTACTCTTAATTGAGTAATTACTTTAAAGGGTACTTTTTACTTTTACTTGAATAAAAATCGGATCGTATTACGGAAGAGGATTAAGGTCACTGAAAAAAAAGCGTTAGCGTTAGGAAAGAATTCTGACTTTTTTTTCTCAGGATTATTATTTTAATCTCAGAATTTGGACTTTTTTTTTCATATTATATTGAGCTAAAATAAAATAAAAAATCAGTTGACTTTCAGTTTTTTTTCAGTGGCCCTAATCCTCTCCTGTACACATCTTTTCCTTCATCCAAAAATTCTGAGATTAAAGTCAGAATTCTGACTTTTTTCTCATATTAAACTGGAATAAAATGTAAAAATGTTGTTGTTCATTGTCCGTTCACTTTTTGAATTTTTTTCATTGGCCCTAATCCTATTCCGTATCAAAATATTGCATTTTTGGGAACTTCTGAGCTCAGTAAAGGGCGGAGCAATAATTTATTAACAGGGTGATTTGTAGCATAGACGATCTTTGGATGGTGAGTACAGCTGCTGTGGATCTGGGGGGGGAGTGAAGCTGCAAGCAGAAGCAGACCGAAGCCTGCTGCTGTCAGGCAAGCAGAATAATCATGGGTAAATCCCTAAACCCACCACTTTAACTCCAACCATCCCCACCCATCCCACCTCCTGCTCACAGCCGGAGGACAGGCGGAAATCCTCATACTCCTCCGCAGCACCGAGCGACACGGCGGAGGGCTTCCTCCGGTTCCTCCCCGCGAGAAGAAATGTGGCTGAACCCGGAGGAAGTTCTGCTGAAAAACGCTCTGAAGCTCTGGGTGACCGTGAGGAGCAACGACTTCTTCCTTCTACAGAGGAGGAGAGGCCACGGAGAGCCAACGAATAAAATAACAGGTAAACAAAACAAATCCCTCCGCCACGTTAGGCAGCAGGGGCGGCGGCAGGCTGGATGGGTAGCAGGGAGGGAGGCCAGAGGGAGGCAGGTGGGAAACTCTGCAGGGAGGGAAGGAAGGCTTCCAGGTGTAGGAGGGCGTGTTTCCCTCACACTTTACTGCCATTATTAAATCAAAGTTCACTAAAGCTGCTATCATAATCATGCGCCCTGAAGCTGACCATAGGACCAAGTTACAGCTCAGCATGGCTTCTAAAGGAGGTGGCCCCAACAGGCAGCTTATCTCACCTGCCTTTTTAACTGTTTTCACTATATGACAATAATAACAATATGTTTTGAAGAACTTCTACATGCAAAAGTTCAGTAAAGTTGCATAACCATAAGTCCGAACTAAAAGAAGTCCTTAGTGTTTTCTAAAACAGGTTTTTCTACTGTTTTCTATTTACATCATAATTTAGATCTGTATCAGCATGCCTGCTTTGCCTTTTTTGTTGCTCTCCTTAACAAGAATGATCCCATTACATACATTCCTTTGATTATTGACCAATGGGAGGAAACCGGACCCTTGTCTCAGGGCCCCAAAGGTGCATCAGCTAAAATAAGGTAATAGGAGTGATGCAGCTCTGTGCAACTATTATTCTAATATCATGCTTTTTGTGTACAAATGAAGAATAATGTGGATTCTAAGATTCAGGAATGAACTCTATGTTGTTTGTAAAGTTTTATTAACAGAACTAAATATTTCCCTTTAAGGAAATATTTTCTAATATTTTCACATTAAATATTTTCACATTAAAACTAGTGTTGCACCAATGCTGTTTTATGGCCTCTGATATCCGATACCTGGCTGGTCAGTATCGGCCGATACCGTTTGTTTGTGTTTGATGTGTGTGTGTGTGTGTGTATATATGAAGAACTGCATACTACTTGGTTGTAAAATAAATGCCATCATGGCTTTGTCAAGCTGCCACATACTTTTGTGAAGCAGGAAACTTTTGACTCTCAAAATGGTATCAGTGCCATATTTGTTGGTACTTGCTGATACCAATACCACCATTTTAGTGCAGGATCGGAGTCCTGCCCGATACTGGTATCGGTATCAGTGCAACGCTAATTAAAAACAATTATTGGTGTATTCTGGATTTTATGAAAAGCTCTACCGGCTTTTATCAGCAATTTTTTTTTTTTTTTTTGCTTATTCCTTTATGCAAAATATCTCAGTATAGTTAAGGGAAGATTAGACTAGAATAGTGAATCAGTTTTGCTGGTATGCTTCTGCACCGCGGTCTGAAATTTCTAGGGACGCACAGCAGTTTCCTGCCAAAGCGCAAGAGGGAGCCTATTAGAGAACTGGCGAGAACTTCGGTGGATGGTCACGAGAACTTGGGAGGTGGGAGTGTTTATCTTTGTCAGGATTTTTTTTAAGGTGCGTGACGACGGTTGCAGAACCTCTAGGTGGGGGTCGTGGTCGCGCACAGAGACAGATTTGACGGTTGCAGAGGCTATGCATCAGAAGCATAAATTGGCCTTTAAGATTAGATTAAGATTGTCTATGAACAGAAGCCTTTGATTTTCCGTTGTCTTACCACAGATTAGATTGATCCTATGCTGGACTTTGACTGGACTGCTCTCTTGCAAATAGCCGCACTTTGATCTAAAAGGTTTAAGTGTTTTTTCTGCCTATACTTTTTTTTTGGTTGTTTTCCTGCTAAAAAGTAAACTTTCACATAGTCTCTGCTGGTTAAAAGCATCCCTGCAGCATGACGCTGCCACCAGTAAGTGAGAGAGGGTGGCGTATTCAGGCTAATGCATAGCATTGTGAGTAAGAACATTATTAAAGATGATTAAACTAAGAGGTATGCCCCATTTTTTTGGTCTGTGATATAAAACACCAATATATACACTGAAGTCTGATTCTAACTTTAATACAAGTAAAGACTTTAAGGAGAATAATACATTTGATGGTTTCTGTTTGAAAACAAGGTGCTTTTTCTGCAAAGCTTAGAAGCCAGGACAGGTTTTGAGATTTTGTTTTTCTCCTTGATACCTAAATGAATAAACGTCTTCATCATTGTCCAGATATCCTTTCTGTAATGGGACTACTTTTGTAATGGGAATTTTTTTTCCTTTTAATAGCCTATTCAACTGTTTCCCATTCATACAGCTTCCTCTCTGTAATTGTTTCTGCTCATCAGGCTGTTTGGACTCACTGGAAGTCGTCCCTACAGTCATATGAGTGGCACACAGTGCCTTCTCTGTCTTCCTCCTTCTAGAGAATCCTATTTAGTTTTTTTTTTTTCTCCCATAAAACAGAATAGTGGGAACTTCCTGGTTGAAGTTTACCATATATGTGTCTGTCCCTGCAGTTCCCATGGTGAAAGGGGTGAAGGGTCGAGTGCTGTTGTCTTCTTGCTCAGGATTCAATCTTTTAGTGTCCTTCACTTGTTCCAGCAGCCTGAGAAATGACTGTACTGTATGTGGAATGAATGCACTTTGTTACTACTACTCTCCTTTAAAAAAGTAGGCCTACTTGTACATATTTTTTGGATTCTAACTATACATTTATTGGGATTGTATTATATAGATAGAAACTAGTACTTTAAGGGAACTAACTGGAAGGTGTGTTGTTCTTTAATATCTAAAAAAATAACCCTGTATGTAATCAGCCCCCTTTTACCTTAATACCCCTAAAATTATTTAGGCTGAACCACTTTTCTGCAACCTGTTTAAATCCAGCTGTTCTTTTAAGGAGGCTTTTATCTGGTAGTTCAAACTATATCAGATTCACAGCTAAGGCGGGACAAGCTGCTTAAAACCTTATATGACTCTGTGGTGACATTAACCCTACTCTACGCCATTGTCTGCTGGGCCCCTGGCAGCGAAGAGCGCAACAGAGACTGAACCATCTAGTGAGAATGCCGCTTCTTTCTTAGGCTGCCCTCTGGACTCGGTGGAGAAAGTGGCTGAGACCATGGAGAAAATATCGGAAAGCAGAGGCAGCAGTTGCTTACGGGCCCACAACCTCTTAAGGGCAGATTATACTTCTGCAAACGCACACATCAAATGTTGCTTGGGTCTGGTCGCAAACCAGTTTTGCTGTTATGCTTCTGCACCGTCGGTCATGAATTTCTAGGGACGTACAGCAGTTTCCTGGCAAAGCGCAAGAGGGAGCCTATTTGAGAACTCGAGAGGACTTTGGTGGACGAACACGAGAAGATGGATCTAGAGTTTCTTGACATCAAAGAGGAACAGTGAAAAGTAAAAGTGAAAAGACAGGTTAACCATTTGTCGTAGTTGTCCATTGTAGTTGTTCCGCGGTTCCTCGACCACACAGACAGCCAGAAAGGCATACCAAGGACCAATCACAGCTGCTTTTTGTCTGTGCACTTACGCTTGAGGTCTGTGCGGGTTTGCAACCGTCCAATGCGTAGTCAGGATTTTTTTGAGGTGCCAACGACGGTTGCTGAATCTCTGTGCGGGGGGGTGGTCGCACACAGAGAGACAGATTTGACGGTTGCAGAGGCTATAGTCAGAAGTATAAATTGGCCTTTAGGGACCTTATCACTAGGAGACTAGTAATACAGTAGAGCAGTAGACTAGGACGTCTCTTTGTAGATGTAATGGTGCGAAAAACTCCTCTTAAACCCACCTGATACTGAAATGACTGACCGCACTGGACTGTATTTATACCGCAACACATGCCAGATTTCAACACGATGGTGAGCCGCTTAAACACCACACCAATAGCAAAGCAGACAGTGGTACTTTTAATTACTATGTTAATAGCTGTGTATTTTCAAACCGCAATAAAGATCTTAAAAGAAAGATGTATTTGAGTATCTGGGTTACCCAGAACGTAGATTACAGGTGTCAAACTGGTTCCAGAAAGGGCCATGTGGCTGCAGGTTTTCTTTCCAACCAAGCAATAGCACACCAGACTCCATTCATCTCATCAAGTCATCATGTTCAGATTGGACTCACTTGATGAGATGACTGGAGTCTGGTGTGCTATTGCTTGGTTGGAAAGGAAACCTGCAGCCACACGGCCCTTTCTGGAGCCAGTTTGACACCCCTGACGTAGATTAAAATTATAACTGTTACGTACAATGTGTTGGCGACAATGGATACTAAAAAGAGGCATTTAAGCGGATTCCAGAAAAGAAAAAGAAAAGAAGAGGTGCTTGAAGAACGGAAAAAAACTTCCCAAAATAAACAGGTTCTTTCAAAGAACCGAATTGGGAGAGGTAGACGTTGCTGCTACAGTGAGGAAAGATGGCGACCAGGAGATGAATGGAGAAAGCGCGGGTGAGGAGGGGGGCTGTGAAGACTATGCGAGGTGTTGTTTCTTTAATGCGAGTGAGAGCGTGCAGGCAGTACAATAATTTGTGCATCATGTGCGGATTAGAACTACTGTGATTGCGCAGACAGAACAAGAGGTTGCGGGCCATGGGGAGGAGGTTGCTCTCCCTGAAATGAGTTTTTGGAACTTGCGATGTCTGTAACATGTGGTGGTGCGCTGTCACCAATGGTTCCATTCAAGGTGCACAGTCACAATTTTTCCGTGTGTGATGTGTGATCACATACTACTGAGAATTGCATAATTGCATCTTCTTGTCCAATTTATGGAACTGTCGCCATATCCTGAACCTTTATCACGTGTTGTACTTCATATGGGGCCCATCCAGATAATGTTGCTTAAGGGCCTATTGTTGTGTCGTTACGCCATTGGGTTGAAAGGAAGGTGCTGTCCAAGCTTACATCCATCATGGATGACACCTTCCACCCTCTGCACCAGACTGTAGAGGAGCTGAGCAGCTCCTTTAGTGAGAGATCTTTACACCTTGTTTGTAAAAAGGAACGCTACTGCAGATCATACTTCCCTGCTGCAACCAAACTCTACAATGCCTCACTGCAACAGCAACAACTTCTGCAATAAATAATGTGAAACTACTATTTGATACCCTGTGCAATAACCTGTTTCTTTATATTTGACACCCAGTGCAATAGCTGTATATATAAATATCCATCTTTATAAATAAAAAGCTGTTATATGTAGATGCACTGTATATACTGTATATATCCAACACACCTTTTTCTCCCTTTGGCACATTCTTCTTCTTTGACTATTTGAGCTGAGGTAACAAGTCAATTTCTCCACTGTGAGATCAATAAAGTCAATCAGTGAATCAACCATAAACAGTGCTGATGTTTGAACAACAGAAAGAAGGAATAGATTAGAAATGCTGTTTATTGTCTGACAGCGGGGAAACTGGGAGAGTTTAGGTTTATGCTGATGTCTGCTTGTAACACAGCCGTATGTGTGATGTTACCAGGGTTAAAAGCGCTGAAACCTAGCTGGGTTTCACTCTAAAAGCTGTGAAAACAAACGCATCCGAGCACAGCTGCTGAGCAGTGCTGGGAAATGAAACACCTGCCTTTCACTTTGTTGATCTTATATTCTCCTCTTGTCTTCAAAGCCAAATTATAAGTCCAGTTTAATCATCCAGATATTATGCAGTCAGATTTAAACTTGTATTCAGATCCATCAACATGCAATGGTTGATGTTCAGCGTCAGTGTTTGCAAAAAAAGGGTTTCAGATCTTAACAGGGTTTCTTTTTTCCTGGAGGTGTTACCAGATCAAAGCTCTTCTGAGGTTGTGGGGACAGACGGATGGTTTCTTGTGGCAGGCGGCTCTGCTGTTTTAGACGATGTGTGGAATCTGAAATTTGGCTGAGAGTGCCTGCTAGAAAAGAACTTCCACACTGCTTGTTCACGGTTTCCACCGGTCATTAAAAGTCATTATATTATTATTTATTTAAATGAAGGCCTTAAATGGCATTGATAATGATGGCATTTAAAATGCTCTCTTAAAAAAAACAAAAAATCTATTTCATCACATATATTATATTACTATATATTTGCGCAAAACTACTTTACTGTGTTTTTATATATTTATATATATATATAAAAAAACTACTAATACTTCTGCCCACTATTGAATTAAACTTGAAGTTTTTGCTGAAATTGAAGGAAACAATTTATTTTTTATAGGAAAAAAGGGATCTGTACGTAGACAAAGAGTTTTACATCTTCTTTCTAAAAATATTTTTTCTACCTATCTTTCATATTATCCTCCGTGAGTGAAATTCGTCCTGTATTTAGTCAGGTTTAGTCTGTTTTTGAGTAAAAACTGCTTGATGTTTGTCATCCTACTTACTGCAAAGTAAAGAAAATTGGCTTATCAACAATAAATAAATGGAAATGTTCCAAATATTTGGAAAAGTTTGGAATATTTCATTTGTCTGCATCTAATTTTAAAGGTGTGACTTCAGTGGTCGTCTTACTTTAAAATGTTCTTTTAAGGTAGGACTTTCCTACTGCATTAATTAAATGTGCTATCGGTTCAGATATGTACCATACTTAATGGGAGCCACATGTTGGCCTAAATATGTAATTTTTCCAAAATTGGCACTTGCCATATGTAAAAACCCACAAATACCTCAACAATTATACATCTGTTATTATATTTATCACCCATTGATACTGGGTTGATGACTTCTATGCTGCCTTCATGCGGTCTGGTAAAGATGGTCCTTACCACTTGAAGTGAAGTGAAACATGTTGGATGCTAAGATTATCCTCACCTCCTGCTTGGACAAGATGGTAATAAACTTTCTAGTTCATCTGCTACAGGAAGAAAAGGATGCATCAAATGCATCGTGTGACTGCTGAGGAGCATCTGACAAAATCAAACCGTAACGATTGCTTAAAAAATTCAATTAAATTTCAGTTTTTCTGATGATTTATATAGCGCCAATTCACAACACGTCATTTCAAGGCACTTTACAGTTCCCTAGATCATACTGTCAAATGAATTCAAAGTTTTCTATCTAAGGAAAGCCAGCTGATTGCATCGATTCATTGACTCGAAGGCAATCCTTCACACTAAGCGTGCTTGTAGCAACAGTGGAGAGGAAAATCCTCCTTTTAACAGGAAGAAACCTCCAGCAGAACCAGGCTCAGTGTGAGCGGCCATCTGCTGAGGCCGACTGGGGTTCAAGGAGACAGAAGCAGACAGAAAAAGAAACAGAGATACAAAAAGCAAGTGTAAACCAGCTCTACATACGGCTCTGTCCAGGAAACGCACATCCAGGCAGACAAGCTCCGAGCCAGCTCCCATGTCAGAGGATGAAGAGAGCACACCCATTTAGTCACAGTCAGAGAAACGGGACTACACTGGAAAAACAGGCCGAACTCAAACAAAATGACACAAGTTTGGACAGAATGGGGGTAAACAAACTGCAGTTGGTGGCCATTAATAAAATCATCAGTTTCGGGATTTTTTTCCTTATATCCTGCAGCTCTGAATCCTCATCTTAAAAGGTTTCTGGCTTATGGAGAAAGCTGAGAGATGATTTCATAGGAGATGAACCTGAAACCAAAATAGTCAGGCTGTTTTCAGAGACCCTAGAAACCCCCAGTAACCCTGCAGTTTGATAGCAATGTTCAGTGCTGAAATCCTATGAATCAGTCAGTGGAGAATAGTTGTTTGAAAGCATTTTCACATTAATGGTGCTTCAGTGTGACGAGGCGCTGCAGATAAGCGCCTTCTGGCACTAAAGAAGGTTTTAGCCTTCAATGATTACGCCTGTTTGTCATCTGTTTCTGTTCACCTGGAAACTCTGAGCCATAAAACGGTTCAACTTTACCTGTTTTGGGGGAATAATTTTAATCTCCTGAACATCTGCTGTGGTGTTTGGAGCTCAGCTGAAGAAACTGTTTCCTGCCTGATCAGATGCTGCAGCCCTCATGTTTTTAAATGTGTGGCCTCTAAAAAGCTAACCTTGGATGTGAAACAGAGCTTTTCATTCTCCTTGTGTTCCCATTTTTTTTTTTATAATATCAAGATGTTTTTATATTATAATATTATATCAGACCAGATTAATTATTAATCGTCGGGTGATAAGATCAACTAATTTTAGATTAATTTATTAATCAATAACTTGCATCCCTGATATCAAATTGAAATGTTAGCATTGGGACAACCCTATTATGCAGCCCTACCCTATTATTTTAAAATAATAGCTGAAAATCTTTATATATAAATCTGTAATCAGGGAAGAGTTTTTTTCTTTGGATTAACTGTACTCACATTTTCTTGTGAAGTGTTTAGTGTTTGTTTTTTGAATTGTTTCATCAGGTCTTTATTAATAATTATAGATTATTTTTTTATTATGTAATTCAGAATATGGTAATATTCCTTTGGGATGTCTGCTACATTTCCATTACGGTTCTAATTATATTTCTGCCATAACCAATGTAAAAAATTAGGTTCCTGAGACTAAAGGCCAATTAATGCTTCTGACGCATAGCCTCTGCAACAATCAAATCTGTCTCTATGCGCGACCACACCCGTCGCGCAAACGTTCTGCAACTGTCGTTGCGCACCTCAAAAAACTCCTGACTACGCGTCGGACGGTCGCAAACCCACGCAGACCTCAAGCGGAAGTGCGCAGACAAAAAGCAGCTGTGATTGGTACTTAGTATGCCTTTCCGGCTATCTGGGCGGTCGTCTTTCTCGATTCGGTGCCGGGGCGCGCCATTTTTAAAAACCAAGAAACAACTACAATGGACAACTACGACGAAAGGTTAATTGAGGACGTTCGCTCCATTAACAGAGCCTGTTCCTCTTCGATGTCTAGCAACTCCAGTGCCACTGTTGTTTTGGAAAATAAACACTTCCGCCGCCGAAGTTCTCCTGAACATTCACTGAAGTTCTCTCGAGGTCTCCAATAGGCTCTCCCTTGCGCTTTGGCGGGAAACTGCTTTGCGCCCCTAGAAATTCCAGACCGACGGTGCAGGAGCATACCAGCAAAACTGGTTTGCGACCAGATCCAAGCAACATTTGATGTGTGCGGATGCAGAAGTTTAATCTGCCCTTAAGCCATCTAGTATTTCAGTGCTAACGCCTGTTCTTGCGGTTTCTTTAGGTCTCCTGGTCGGGGCGTTGGACACGGTGCTGGACTCCAATGCCAGGGTCACACCATTCCGCATCCTGTTGCAGGTTCCTGGTTCTCAAATCAGCTGGGTGATCGCCAGCGGTGAGTAGAATCACCACTTTTTCACCTGTTCCTCCCTAAAAGCCTCTATTGCCATTTGAGGTCACTATATGTGTGTTACACCGTAGTTTTGTTTTTACGGCTTTTTGTCCAACAGGAGCCACCATAGAGGAAGTAAACGAGCACTGGGGCTGGCTGGTCCGAAACCTACTTCAATCTCTGTCTGTGTTTGAGAACAGAGAAGATGCAGTCGGCTTTGTGCGAGGAAAAGTTAAGGTTTGAATAATGTCTGTTTCCATAAAATAAAAAAAAAGACTCAAAAGCTAAAAGTCTCCTTCCTGAAATGAGCTGAATGGGTGTCCTGTGCAGGGCCTTATTGCAGAGGAGGTTCAGGGACGTCAGGCAGCTCAGGAGGAGGATCCAGAGAAGTTCAGAGAGGCCCTTCAGAAGTTTGAGCTGCACTTTAGCCTCCCTTCATCAGAGAAACTGGTGACCTACTACTCCTGCTGCTGCTGGAAGGGCCGGGTGCCTCGGCAGGGCTTCCTCTACCTCAGTGTCAACCACATGGCCTTCTACTCATTTCTGCTGGGAAAAGAAGGTATGCAGGACAAACAGTCACACAAAGCACAGTTTAGTTTATCAAGAAATGCACTCCGTCTTTATCAGCTATGTTAAACCTTCATAAACATTTTTAAATGTAGCAACTAAGAAAAAGTCATATTTCATTGGATTTTTAGTGATGAAGAAGTACAATTAAAGCATGTGAGTCATGCTCTTTTATGATTTTGAATCTTCCTAAGTCAATAATAATCGGACCACCCTTCCACTTCGGGATATATCTCCTCAAGGTGTGTCCAACTACATCCCATTCTTCCTCTTAAAATAGCTCAGGAAGATTAATGGAGAGGAAGATGAACAGAGATCTTCAGGTTTTGCTGCAGATTCTCTATTGGAATCAGGTCTGGACTTTGACTGGGCCGTTCAAACACACAGTCAGGCTTTGATCGTAGACATTTCCCATCAGCACCGGCTTTATATTTTCCTATACCAGAGGTCACAGATTAGCGGACTGCGGTCCGGATCCGAACCCGACCTGATTTAAAACATTTATAAATTATGGCCTGTTGTCTGACGACTAATTTCTAATGTCTAATTTCCCTTGAGTTGCTTCTGTTAATAGGGTAAAGCCCTCTGTAGCTTAAATTATATTTTTTTATTATAAAAGTCAATGTATAACAAGGATGCATTAACAACCTAATTTTATTTAAGTGTAAAGTTTACAGATTATCTGTTTACAGATTATAATTAAAAATGTCTGTGAACCTTTACTGGTTGATGATTTTCTTTATTCAAACCCCACTGATTTTTAATTGGTTACACCTGAACTAGAGTGAATCAATGACACAGGAAGTCACTCGCAGAACGTGACTTGGTCATTTTAACAGTCATTGTTATAATAGTTTTGTCATTCCAGTAAAGTTTTGTGTGATAAAAGAATCTCATTATGATGAGTAGGTCGACAGCCGGAAATGTGTTTCTCTCTTTATATCCTCTTCTGTTTTTGGAGCCATGACACCTTTTCAGTCAGAACTGATGTGTGTGTGTGTGTGTGTGTGTGATCTTTTTATTTAAAAGTCAATGTATAACATGGATGCATAAAAACCTCATTTTATTTCAGTGTTAAATTCTGTTTCATGTAACAGATTGTAATTTAAAATGTGTCCGGACCTTTACTGGATGATGATTTTCTTTATTCGGACCCTGCTGATTTTTAATTGGTTACCCCTGCACTAAACCGTCTCAACTTTCAATCTATTCCTTCTAAAGAAGAGCCTTCCCAAAGAATGATGCTGACACCACAATGTGTTGGATTGTGGATTCAAACTAGTTTTTATGCAAAAAAAAAAAAAAAAAAAAAAAACGCCTTCTTCCATCCTTTTTTGGTTGAGTCCCTTACAGGATTTGTAGCAAACTGCAAGTATGTTTTTTGAAAGTTTTCTTCCAACTCTTTATTACTTGCTTCTCTTCCATAAAGCTGCTCTTTTGATGTATTTTTCACCTAAGCTGTGGATCTCAGCAGCTCCTTAAAAGTTACCTTTGACCTATGAGCTGCATCTCTGGGTAATGCGCTCTTTGTCCTAAATTAGTCGGCTCCAATAAACTGTATCTTTCTTTACTCTTATGAATTAATTTAGCTTGTTTTTCTCCTGCATATCACACTTCTCTTTTTTTTGTCCCCAGTGAAGTTTGTGATCCCCTGGGCGGAGGTAACTCGGTTGGAGCGGGTCTCCACTGCTCTGATAACCGAAGCGATCAGGGTCACCACCCGAAAGCGACAGAGAGAGTTCTCCATGTTCCTGAACCTGGATGAGGCCTTCGGGGTCATGGGTCAGCTGGCTGACATCACCCTGAGGCGGCTGCTGGACAGCGAAGGCCTGGAACTGGACAGAGTGCTGCAGCAGACGGCACGCATATCAAAGAGGTTAGATAAAGGCAGATAAAAAACAGATTTGAAGTATAAAAACCTAAATAAAATCTTTCATTTTTAACTACTTAGAAGCTTTAAACTGCTTTCCTGTAATGAACAGTTATGATCTATATGAAGACAAGAGGTAATGTCCCACCGTGTGAGAGAGAGATAGAGAGAGAGCAGACAGCTCTGCAGTTAAACCAGATTACCTTATTATGTTTTATATTTAAAAGCAAAATTAATAGATAAAACCTATTTCAATATATATTGTAAAAAAATATAAAATAAGCAAAGTTAGCATTAATATACACACTGTTTTTTTAAAGACCTCAACAATATTGAATGGGGTAAGGATGAGCCTTTATTATAAAGTAACAATTCTGCTAAATATGCACACTGGTGATAAATAATGATGCAGTATTTTTCTTAAACACCCAATGTAAGCTTTTTGAACATTTTATGATTGCACATTCAATACCATGAGCCCCCCCAATAAGTCACACGTATGATTGCATTATCTTTCCCCGTGCACGTGGCTCGCTTTTAACACACCGTGTGGATTCTCTTCTACTCGTATTTTTCTGTGCAATCATGTCAACTTTTGTCACTTGAGGGAGTAACCATCGCGAGAAAGTAAACTGCCTGTGATTGGCTGCTTTTCAGAAAATCACCTCTACTGTTTTCTTCATAGTTGTGGGTAGTGAAGTTAGCAAAAAAACACTTTAGGACAATTGCTTTTCTCTTAAAGGCAAGCCAAGTTTATTTACAGAGCACATATCTGTACAGAGAGAATTTAAAGTGCTTTACATTAATTTATCAAAAAAATACAAGGAAAGTAAAAGAAGAATATAAGTTAGTAAAGATAAAAACAGGTAGTAAAACTAATAAAACAGTTGGACCATAAATTTAAGCTAATAATACCTCAGTTAGTGGTTTAATTTCAATAGTCGAAGGCATTTTTTTAATATTGGGGTTTTAACTTTGACTTAAAAGAACTCAGACTTTCAGTATTTTTTAGGTCTTCTGGGAGTTTGTTCCAGATCAGTGGAACATAGGAACTAAATGCTGCTTCTCCATGTTTGGTTCTAGTTCTTGGTGAACAGAGTAGGCAGGAACTACTGTAGAAGACCTGAGTGGTCTGGGAGGTTGATGCACTGACAACAAATCTGTAAAGTATTGAAGTTCTGATCTATTCACTGATTTATAGACTAACAGAAGCATTTAATATTTACTCTCTGAGCTACAGGGAGCCAGTGGAAGGACTTCAGAACCGCGCTCATATGTTCTACTTTCTTAGTTCTAGTGAGAACCTTGGCAGCAGCGTTTTGGATCACCTGTTAAGACACTGTTGCTGTAATCGATCCTACTAAAAATAAATGCATGAATAAGTTTTTCTAAATCCTGCTTTAAAGAGTTGAAATAAAATGAAGTCATCATTAAATAACTGAGTTTAATTCTTTCCTGAATGTGTTCTAGCAGCAGCAGCAATGCGCTCCTAAATTATTAATGTTAAATTTGGAACTACATATGAGCTCAGCTAACGTCTATATTGAGGAATGTGAGTCTTGAACTTCACTTCTAATCAGTTTGCAGCTGCTGTTAATGTTTGTTTTTTTTTTTTGGTGTCCAGCATTTCTTTATAGTCAGTGGATTAGAGAGATGCCTGTTTACGACCGAGTATTAGGGCCAGGTTAGAGAGTTTTTTTCATTTATTGTGAGAATAAAGTTGTAACATTATGAGAATAAAGTTGTAATGTTACGAGAAATAAGGTCACAATGAGAATAGTCATAAACTTACAAGAATAAAGTCTTAATATTAAGAGAATAAAGTCCTAAAATTATGAGTTTCAACCTAACAGCTCTCTGGAAATTGCCCTGTTGGTTCAAATGTTTAACTGTTTTTAACCAGCTATTGTTTGCGTTTGTTTTTTTTATTTATTTTTTTATAATGTGTTTGTTTAAAGATACTAATTATTAATAGGTTTTAATAGTTTCTATATGAGCAACAAATGCAATAAAGAGAGCAAAATAAGGAAGAAGAAATAAAACATGTTGCACACATAGACCAAAGGGAAGAAAACAGGAACTGAGAACTTAACGTGTGTATGCAAAAATATATTAAAATAACAGCCAGACTGATACTGCTAACACCTACAAAATAACTTATTATTCATGATGAAAAGTGTTTTTATTCTAAAATATCATTGGTTTATCTGCTCCCTTACATTTTCTTACTCAGTTATACCAATTTAATTTTTAAATTGGTAAAACGCTTGTTTATTCAGTTTGTTTCTCTCACTCTTTCTTTTTTATTTGCTTAACTGCAACTGTAATTATTAGTCTTTCAGAATATTACATTTTGGCACATAAAGGAATTTTCATTTGTGCACAAATCTTAGATTTACCTCAAACATTAGAATATGCTGCTATAAAGATTTCCAATATGCACATGTAAAGATTATAATACGTTTGTTTTGTGAAATTGCCAAATTTTCGATGCATTTCATCGTCTAAAAAAAGTTTAGCACAATTCCAAAACGGTTTGTTGACCTGAGGCGCTGTTAGGGGTTATAATTTGTCTGACTAGGAACCAACTAGCTCTGCACAAGTTGGAGGTCAGGACATTTAAAACACAAAAATAAGACCCTATAGGTATTAAACAAATCAGAGTCTTTTTTCATTGTAGGGAATTTCACTCACTTCTCAGGCTGGGGGTTAGAGTCCATTCCCACTGTTCTAACAACCAACTTGACTCAAAAAATTGTCAGCAAACCGGTTTGCAAGGGTCACCATACCCTGAGATTTCTTGAATATTGTTCTTAAAACTCTGGCTGGCTCTCCCCAATGAATGGAAACTAAACACAGATATAATTTAGTCAGATGATATCTAATTGTTTATGTTTAATTTATTTCTGTATTTTATCTGTCAATGAGGAAATTGGTTTGACTGTGATTAAAGGGAAATGTAATTAAACTATTACAGTTAGGGCCAGAAATATTTGGACAGTGACACAAGTTTTGTTATTTTAGCTGTTTACAAAAACATGTTCAGAAATANGTGTACAATTCCTACATTTTCTATCAGATATTTTTGTTCAACCCTTTAAATTAAACGTTACAATCTGCACTTGAATTCTGTTGTAAAGGTTTCATTTCAAATCCAATGCGGTGGCATGCAGAGCCCAACTCGCGAAAAATTTGTTACTGTCCAAATATTTCTGGCCCTAACTGTATATTGAAGAGCCTTTTATTAAGAAACAATTAACTTGTTCAATTTGCCTTTGACAATGGTACAAATGTTGGAGTTTAAGCCTTATATAAATGAAAGAGAAAAAAAAATAGAGTAGATGTTTGTGCTCTATTTTTGTGTTCTTTGCTACATCCTGTCAACAGAAGTTATGCTTTGCTTTATTAGATTTTTTTAAATATTAATTTGCTCATTTGGCTGTAACACCATCCAGGAGAGAAATATCAGCTGTGCTGCTGCTATCAACACCTTTGTTTATGAATGTTGGAGATCCGCCTATTTTCCAGTGTGGTCCTGTTTCTCTGACTGTGACTGGCTGGATGTGCTCTCTTTCATCCTCTGACATGGGAGCTGGCTCGGAGCTCGTCTGCCTGGTTGTGTGTTTCCTGGATGGAGCCGCCTTTTACAGCTGCTTTTTGTATCTCTGCTTCTGTTTCCTTGAACCCCAGTCGGCCTCAGCAGATGGCCGCTCACACTGAGCCTGGTTCTGCTGGAGGTATCTTCCTGTTAAAAGGGAGGTTTTCCTCTCCACTGTCGCTACAAGCATGCTTAGTGTGAGGGATTACCTTCCAGTTGATGCAATCAACTGGTTTTCCTTAGATAGAAAACTTTGAATCAATTTGACTGGATGATCTGGTTAAACTGTAAAGTGCCTTGAGATGACGTGTTGTGAATTTGCGCTATAGAAATAATCAGAAAAACTGAATTAAACTAATTTCTATTTGTTTCAGTGCCGTTACTCTAATCGCAATAAATAAAAATTAATTCAAATCTAAATCTCAAGCTATCTCTTTTTAATCTTTTTTTCCTTCAGGATCTTAGAGGAACAGGCCATCAGAGAGTACGTCTTGGCTTTGTTTCGGCTCCCCCGTTCAGAGAAGCTCTACGAGGTGGCCTCATGCTCGGTGTGGACGCCGCACAGCCGCTCCCATACAGCCGGGACGCTCTACACCACCGACAGCTATCTGTGTTTCTCCAGCAGAGAGGAAGGCAGCTGCCTTCTGCTCATCCCCCTCTCCGAGGTACACAACCGGTTTTCTTCCTCATAATCTTCATTGTCACAGATGGAACAGTCTTATGTAGTCAGTAAAATAATAAATTAGCTTGTTTATTTGTAGACCTTACTGAATGATTGTGGAGCACCCTATGAAAGCCTGGGTGTTACATGGTAATTTTAACAATAAATGTATTATATGTGAAAGCAATAAACATTAGAAAACAAGATTTCCTTTAAAATGTCCCATACATTTTATAAGTTTTTTTTTTGTTCTGGTCAAGTCTGAACTTGCATGAACCCATGAGAGAATGTGAATCACTTCACTACCTACCAGAGAAGGGTTCCCTCACTTTAAATAAACTAAGCCTGTGGTTGAGCACACATATAAACATTTCTACTGGAAATTAAATGTTTCATCTAATAACAAGTTTTTTCCCACCAACAAAAAGTTAGAGTCGTTGAAAGGTAGTGATGAACAAATCTGTTCAAATCAGGTTTACTTATTTCTTAGAGGACAACTAAGGGAAGCCACGTTTTAACTTACTCACAGTGTTTGTTTATAACAAAATGTCGTCTTTGATAGGATTTCTAGCAGTGTTGTTTTTGACAGCCATCTTAGATTTAGTCTTTAGGACGAAAACTATTGTTAGTTTTAGTCACATTCTGGTCATTGCGATATGTGATCGTTTTAGTCGTCTAAAACTTAAAAAGGTTTTAGTCAGTTTTATGTTGCACTTAAAAAAACAGTTAACCTTTATAATTTTAAATAACCACCAGATTATTTATCAGACTGACAGCTCTAGCCTAGATACTACAATAACTGGGTGTAGAATGCTGCTGTGCAGTTCATCATTGCTGTTGGGCAGAAAACTTTGATATATTGAATCTAAATAAATGTTTTGTTTTTTGTTTTTTTTAATGAAATAATGCCCTACTTTATAAAAAGTTGTGAAAATAGCAGATCTAGTTCAACACATCATATTGGTTAATATAGCAGACGGACAAGCTAACTAAATGTACAATAAAGGAATGGTTTTAGACATACGTTCCCATCTAAAAGCAAACACTTCCTGATCTACTATGAATGATGCATTACACACAGATCAACAAAATCTTTATTGCTCCAAAGAAGCAAAGAACGAAACATTCTTCTTTATACTTTGGCAGTTTTGGCTTTATTCTGAGAATTGACCCCTTAGTTACCACTGCTCAGGGGTCAAAGTAGATTATCAGACCAAAGGGATCTGATATAACAGGCAAATACGCATATAATCTACATAATTGCCTTATAATGCTATGCCAATCCAGACCTAAATTTCAATACCGTATATTAACTGAAATGTTGAAATATTGTAGAAATATTCAAAGATCTGTGTACCTTTTAATCTGTGTTTATCCAAAAATAAACAGAATGCAATAAAATAGTTACCTAAGACATAATTTAGGGATTCCTTTTGATAGAAATGAAACAATGTTAAGTATTACCTCTTGTGAACTAGAAGAAATAAAATCTTGATTGTTAGACAAAGGGAATTTTTATGCTTGGCAGAGGATGATCAGCCACATAGTTTATTAAGTAGCAAGAGCAGGAAGAGCCATACGGGTGAGAGCGAACCATCGGTGTGGAGCGTGAAGCCCAGACTCTGAGCTACGCACGGGTAAAGACGCCGTTCTGCACAAGCATAGCTGGAAGAGCAGAGTTTGTCGCGGTTGAGCGAGCAGTACCAGACGATTCCGGGTCATTTTCTCCCCTGCTGCTGCTGCCATGGACCATCTGTGGTCATGTAGAATGTGCAGCGCTGCACGCCAGGTGAGCTGCATGACCAAACAAAACGCAGCAGCACGACTGATTCTGCTTAGCTTGTCTAA